TCCATAAAATGCTGGGAAATTCTTGATTAGCTGCACTATTGGCGGCTCCTCAAGAAGGGCTCAGCTCCATGAGTAAGTAAGTAAGTAATTGGTGACTAGTATTCGGACGCCAGAAATGAGGCTTATCAAGTTGCAATTTATATCTACACACACAGACCCTGAACGCCTTCACTGTTAGTTGGTTAGCTCATGAGTTAGCTAATTACCCCTGTACTAAACATCGCAACTTCACACCACGCCGTTAAGGCATATAGGCAGTATGAGAACGTGGAGGTGAATCTCCACGCATTCTTAATCATGGCCTTGCACTCAAGAAGTTAAACTTAAAACTAACCTCTGTTTTCATGCGTTTTTATTTCTTATTGACTGAGTTTTTACATAGAGCAGCCATAATGTTTAACATTCTTTCTGGGCGTAAATGATACGGGAATATGTACGTATACGTACATAGCATGTAGTAAAAAAATATCGTTAATTAAAAGGTAAAAAAAGGCAAAGATGTTCTCCTCTTATTTAATTAAGCACTACGCCATAAAGACGAATGGGGGAGTGGAGGTATAGCTCCACTATTCTTGACATCGGCACTAGATGGAGGTAAGTGGTGAGATTCATGATCCGGCCACTCTACTCCTGGGGGGAAGAGCTCCGCTACCCACCGGATAGGAGATTGGTGGGCCCCAGAGGCTGTCTGGACGCTGTGAAGAAAGGATTTTCTTACCGCTGTCGAGAATCTAACCCTGGCCGTCCAGCCCCATATCCCGTCGCTATAGAGACTGGGCTATCCTGTCGTTAAATTAAAGTGAAAAAGTCTATACCGATAATTGTAAGTTCGAGGAGAACCATTAGCTGCGAACTGTATCATTGTTACTGTAGTGAAAAGCGTAAATGACATAAAGTTTGCTGTTGGCAACGTGCTCCCTGGTTCCCAAAGCTGCAGGATGGTGCACGAGTGTCTCATGAACTTGTCCCGAGCGCAGGAATTACTAGTTTAGTCTGAGCTTGTTCGTTAGAAACGATGTCACGGCCCTAGGTCTCTGCATGGAGGTGGTGGTCCCATCGCCGTCCGTGACATCCACGTTCACAGGAATACTTTCTGCACCGTCACTGATATAAAAATTGTGGTTGTGATTTGCAGACCCTAGTGACCTTCGAGAGCCGAATTGCTGCGGATCTGGAAGACCTCTCCATCCCAACTGCCTGCCGGTGCCCCTGCCCCCGGAAGACCATTTCTACCGCCTCCACAGACAGACGTGTATGAACATGCTGCGATCTCTGGCAGGCGTCAGGCCCGACTGCCGTCTGGGTGAGCAAACCTCAGAATATAGCAGGCCTTGTCTCTGCGCTTTTCAGTGCCCCAGACACAAGTATAGATAAATTTGCCTGTGTATGGACACTGGTTATTGGCCCAACCAGCCTCCTATAGAATGAATACCAGGGATCTTTCCCTGAGAGTAAAGCGGCCGGAGCATGAAGCTGACCACTCACCTCAATCTAGTTCCGATATTAAGGATGGTGAAGCTATACCTCCACTCTCCAACACGCCTTCGTGGCGTGAGACTTAATTAATTAAGCACAGAAAAAAATACACCTTTACCACTCCATCCTATGTCTCTAAGATCCAGTTTAATATTATTCTCCCACCTACATCTAGGTCTTCCTAGCGATCTTTGTCTTTCCGGTTTTACCACCAAGACATTGTGTGCATTCCTCTTCTCTTTCATGCATGCTACTTGCCCTTCCTATCTAACACTCCTTCAGTTGATCATTTTACTTATATTTGGCGAAGAGTACAAGTTACGAAGCATCTCATTGTGTAGTCCTCCACAGCCAATCTTAAAAACATCAATGAATATAAGATGCCTCAAATGGGAGATTAAAATTAATTTAATCATAAGAACTTGTCACCCCCTACACCACACAATAATGCCACAACTGTAACTACGTTACGAGACCGTCCCATAAAATTTGGCGTAACTCGTCATGAAGATGGAATGCTTGGTGAACGCGAATAATTAAAACACTGGTGATGAGACGAGCAGGGAATTTAGCACGCATGGTGGCGAAGAGGAAAGCATATAGGATTTTTATGGGAAAACCAGAAGGAAAGAGACCACTAGGAAGACCTAGAAAGAGGACCGAGGATAATATTAAAATGGATATTAGAGAGCTAGGACGGGGCGGTATGGACAGGATTGATCTGTCCGGTGGAGGGATTTTGTGAACATGGTAATGAACCTTCGGGTTCCATGAAATAGCGAGAAATTCTGGAGTGGGTCAGCGACTTGCAGATTCTGAAGAAGAGCTCAGCTTTGTGGAGTCAATTAGATCGTCGTCATAACATTGGGATTCCTGAGGGATGTGTAAACTAGTAGGGCCGATCTCACAATGGTTACGAACAGGTGCAGTTTCACCTGTTAATAAATGGTCACAACTCTCATGAAACGATCCTGTGATACCCACTGGACGAATCACAAGGTCATTCTGTACATGTTCGTGAAGACAATATTCCTGTCCCAACTGGGAATAGAACCAGGGAGTTCAGCCTGTGACTTAGCCACTTCCCCGATCAATCTACGGCGGTATTCTTGAAAACAATTATGGGAAGAACCTATGGCCTACTTGCCTTTCATACGACACGGACCGCATGGAGAACGATGCCTCAAATAATTCTTCGTTGACGGGGGAACGGCTTTATTGAGCTGTTATCTAGCAACGGTTGGAGGATTCGCAGACCCACAGACACGTCCGTGAAACAATTCTTCTACTGTTGCTTATATTCGATGTGCGGGAACGTGTTTACCAAGACGTTGCCTAGTAATGAAATGGATATATTTTTATTGAGCCATTGCCTAGCAACAGTGGAAGTGATACGTAGATATACAGAAACACAGACTGACCGGGTGGATTTATGAAATATGCCTTTGAGATGGGCTCAGCTGCTATGATGTACATGCCACGTTTCATAAAGATTGATTCGGGCATTCCAAAGTTAATAAGGGGGATTTACAGACACACAGACATCATTGAGATCGCATAAGCCTACTTTCATTTTTTTTTTTTCAAAATAAGGAAGGTAGGTTAAAAAAGGCACTTCATCGCACTTTGGAAGGAAAATCTTAAGAACGCTTTTTCCTTGTAGGACTCCTTCCACAGGTGTGGCACCAGATCATTTAGTGTGGTTGGTCAGAACTTGTGGGGTTTGAACCGAATTAATTATGCAAGCTGACCAATGAGGCTGCACTCAAGTATTGACATAACCCCCCTCCCCCAACTACGCGCTAATTCACGCATGCGCTTTGCGTTTGTTCGGACCTAAATAAGAGACCCTCCCTCTGACGAACGATAATCGACCCGCAACACACAAAACAAACCCCCTCACCCTACCGTCTGCATCCTTACGACACTACAAACAACCCCGAACAGCATCCTACCAGCTTCTGCTACCCGCATGACGCGTAAACACGCTGAGGGAAGATTTTTGCTTGAGAGTGCATCATGTTTACTGCTTACCGAACCCCTGTACAATGTCCGTCTCACCCTTTAGCCTCAGAGAACAGAAATTATTGCTTTACATAATCTGAAATTACCTTTACATTACAATGATAACTATTACACAAATACAGAAATTTGTTGATCGACATTTCTCGAAGTTTTACATTGAATGCATCTTATTGTGAACAAAAGGTAACCATATCAATAACACGGCTATCGATCAGGGCATACTTTCTTAATTTTGTACCAAAGAACAATTTCTTACGTTAAATAGAAATGAAAACCGAAAATGTTCAACTCGAAGTCGCATTTCATGCAATCATATCTGTGGTACTTTTGTTGCAGAAATTCCACTATCATAACTGCCCCTTGATTTTAAACGAGTAGTTGTTTGTCTTGAGGTCGTTTCCTTTTCTCTCCCTGGTGGGGTACGTGGGGTTTCTTGGTGGGGCATCGTGCTTCTGGGGGGCAGGGCACCATGATGTACGAGGAGGTGACAAGCGACCTCACGACTCAAGCCACTCCAGCATCTCCTAATGGCCTGGTAACAAAGGGGCGAATACTGAATGACGTAGCGCATCCTCCCCCCTGCGCGTCTGCGCAGAGCCACGATACGGGGCGACAGCTGCTGTCATGGGGTCGCTGTGAAGTAGGGTGAGGAACACAGGGTGCAAATAGTAATTTTTGGCACCTTGTGCGAGAGGAGACGCCTTAGTTTTATTTTTCTTATTAAATGTAACTTGAACTTAAGTAATTTCTAAATAAAGACGTTCCATGTGTGTCAATTAGAACAACGCTAGGTGGTGCAGCAAGAATGGAAATTGCCTTACAGTTTCAGAGCGCAATGGCTGTACGCAGAACCGGAATAGCTCAGTCGATAAAGCGACGGGCTACGGGCTGCCGGCAGAGAAAACGGGGTTCGATTACCGGCAGGGGCAAGAGAATGTTTATTCCTCCTTAGCGCCCAGACCAGCTCTGGGTTCCTTCAAGCATTCTACGCAATGAACTACCAGGGGCTGTTTCCTTGGGGGTAAAGGGGCCAGGGAAGGAAGGTGATCACTTACTTCAATTAGTGCCGATGTCAAGAAGGAGCTATACCTCCATTCCTCCATACGTCTTCACGGCGTGATGCTTAATTAAGTAAGAACTTTGACAGATTTACCTTTTTATCTTCAATGGCGGAGTGCACGCGGAAGGGTAGTTGGTTGAGGCACTGTGCTACAAGCCGTTAGGTCGCGGGTTCGAATCCTGATGAGGTGGAGTTTTCAATTGATCTAATCCTTCCAGCCGCACTATGGCACTGGGATCGACTCAGCCTCTAACAGAAATGAGTACCAGGGTTCTTCGTGGTGGGGTAAAGGGCGGCCGGCGAGTAAAGCTGATAACCTTACTGCCATCTGTGAGCCGATTGTCTAGGAAATGTGAGACCCTCAACGTCTCACAAACATATGGGCCTTCATGGCCTGTTACAGGGTTAAATTTACTTTTTTTTTAATTTAATGGCAGTACTCACGTTGCTATGTGAGTCAGAAAGGTCGAATAATGGCCACGCCATAGCTCAAGCTTTTAGTCGCTGGCTTCCCACCGCGGCGGCCCTGGTTAGATCCCGGGTCTGGTCAAGTGGGATTTGTGGTGGACAAAGTGGCGCTGGGGCAGGTTTCCTCCGAGTACTTCGGTTTCCCCTGCCAATCTTCTTTCCACCAATTGCTCCACAATCACCCTCACCTATCATCTGGGGCTGGTACAATACTATTTTGATTAATTTCGTGCTTCAAAGGAGTATCGTAGTTTTATGTAGGTCTGTTATATTGTTTGCCTTCACTGCACACGTTGCATCCATGTGTGTCTATATTCCTACATTTCTACGCTTATAACGAAAATGCGATTATTTTTTTATCTCTAGTGGGGTGGGACTAAATCCCTTGTACTGCGGGCACTTCTGGCCTATTGTACCAGCCCCAGATGATAGGTGAGGGTGATTGTGGAGCAACTGGTGGAATGAAGATTGGCAGGGGAAACCAAAGTACTCAGAGAAAACCTGCCCCAGCGCCACTTTGTCCACCACAAATCCCACTTGACCAGACCAGGGATCGAGCCCGCGCCGCCGCAGTGAGAAGCCAGCGACTAACCGCATGAGAAATGCGATTAACTAAGTTAATGATTATGTAAGGCAAATCGGAAATGAATGACGGAAGAAGAGGCAGTGTTCAGCGTCTAGGTATTACTTGTCACTCCCGTTTGAGGACCGGCGGAAATCACGAATATTTTCCGATGGGGTCGGGATTCACTCCTGAGTTCATAACTCATTGTCAGTACATTAATCTAATCGAGATAACACTCGAAATTTAAATATAAAATAATATAAACTAAATATTGGTTGTGTCAATTCCTTAAGGTCGGTTCTGTATGGGCGCAAATCTTGGTCTCTGACATTAAGGGAGGACCATAAACTGAGGGTGTTTGAGAACAGGGTGTTGAGAATATTTGAGCCAAAGAGAAATGAATTGACGTAAGGTTGGAGAAAACTGCATAATGAGGAGCTTCATAACTTGTACTCTTCTCCAAATGTAATTAGAATGATCAAGTCAAGGAGGATGAGATGGGCGGGGCATGAATCACGAATGGGAGAGAAGAGGAATTCATATAGGATATTGATGGGAAAGCCAGAAGGAAAGAGATCACTTGGAAGACCAAGACGTAGGTGGGTGAACAATATTTAAATGGATCTTAGAGGGATAGGATGGGGTGGTGTGGATTGAATTGATTTGGCTCAGGATAGGGATCAGTGGAGGGCTCTTGTGATCACGGTAATGAACCTTCGGGTTCCATAAAATGCTGGGAAATTCTTGAGTAGCTGCACAATTGGAGGCTTCTCAAGAAGGGCTCAGCTCCTTAACGTCGTTATTTCAACCGATGAGTATATCGCCTTGACTAGGTCGTTATATTGTCGTTTGCGGGTGTCATTAAAGTAGGAGAAGCTGTAAGGGTTGCGTCCTACCCGTTACAGTCTGAAGGAGATTTGTGGAATTCGGTACTATATAACTTCTTAAACTGAATTAATGTCGTCAAACAAATTCAAAGTTCATTAGTTCAAATGCATTCCTTTTAATCACGATCATCTTCCCATTTCAGTTGACGTAACCTCTGCAGCTGAAACGATATCGTTAAATAAGTGATATTCATTCAAACCCTTCCCTCTGTAACATTCAAGATTTTTTTTTTCTTGACACTACAGCCCTCATTTGGGCCTAGGCCTACCTCCATGAACTTCTCCGTTCACTTCGGTTTTTCTAGATCTTACACATTCGGTGGGACTCCTTGGGTGGGTGATCAGCTCGTCGCAAGGCCTCTACCTGTACAAAAACACAGAAAAACGTACGCACAAAAACTAAACATCCATGCCCTGAGTGGGATTCGAACCTACGATCCCGGTTTCCAAGCGAGCGAAGACGGTACATGACTTAGACCGCTCGGCTACCGTGACCGGCAACATTCAACATTATTTTCTACAAATTTTCGACGTTATATAACATCTGTATTTAAATTAACAACATATAATAACCTGAGAATCCGATCACAGTGGTCGCGCAGTCTGAAGCCGGGTATCGACTGCGCGCGGCTGCCGCGCAAGGCAATGTTCGTTGCTTTGCCTCGCAAAGTCGATACCATGTTGCCGCGCGGCAGAAAAGTACTGCCGCGCGCGATCTTAGCGCATGTCGAGCCAAATCGGAGAGGTTTTTGTCCCGCGGCAAAGGGATTTCAGTTTGCTGTGCCCTTTTAGTTGAGGCAGTCTGAGAACTGCCGCACTTCAATGCTGGATACGAACACGGTAAACAAACGAAAGAGTTTGCCGCGCACGAACAGCTGCCCGCGGCAGCCGCGTCCAATCGATACCCAGCCAAAGGCAAGAAATTTTTCGCCCTCTCGAACGTTGGGTTAATGGGTTCGAATCTCACTCAAGGTATGGATGTTTATCTACGTTTATTCTGTGTTTGTGTTGTCCTGTGTAAGTAGCGGCCTTGCAACGGGCTGATCCCTTGTCCAAGGAGACTTACCGACTGTCTAAGTTAAGAAACGGAAGTGAAACGAAACGTTTCATGGATGCCCTATGCTGCAAGTGGGAGCAACAGAAAGTAGATAGATAGAATAACCTGAGAATCAATTAGGAGAGCGACGACAAGTTTATCTACACTCCTGTAGGTCACGACAACTCCATTATGAACCTTACGTATCCGAAGATCATCTCATTCGACCTTGAATAACTTCTGAAGTTGTAACAGTTATTCAGTAATCTAATCAGTTGGGCGAGAGACTTCATACAGGCGAAGACTGCCTTCATCCTACCCATAATTCACGATCATTTTGACCTCCGTAGTGGAACCCACGTCCCCAGTTATGTTGACAGGTCCCCGAGCACAGACCAACACGGCGACGGCGTTCATTGACGGGAACTTCCTGTACGGTTCGAACGTGAGGCTCTCGGACGAGTTGCGCCTCTTGAAAGGAGGTTTGATGAAGACTCTACACGCCTTCAGCGACTTGGGCCTCAAGGAGCTCATGCCTCTAAAGCTGCAGTTTCCTGATGACGGCTGCATCCGCAGTAGCCCCGACATCTTCTGCTTCCTTGCAGGTAACATTCCCCAGTCTCCTCCTTGCCTCGTGACGTGTCCCAGTTTGTTGTTCTCTAACTAATAGCCGGAGGCAGCGCGCACTGGGGAGAAGAGGAATGCATGTAGGGTTCTGGTGGGAAATTCAGAAGGAAAGAGATCACTAGGAACACCCAGATGTGGACGGGAGGATAGTATTCAAATGAATGTATACTAGAGGGATAGGATTGGATATGGATTGGATTCTTCTGGCTCAGAATTGGGACCAGTGGAGGGCTCTTATGAAGACGGTAACATGCTTTCGGGTACAAAAAATGTTACGAAATTCTTGAGAACTGAACGACTGGTGACGTGTTAAGGAGGACTCATCTCCATGGAGTTGTAACTAAATAGCCACATAAATTAGTAACTTATTAATTTACCAACCAACAAAATTACTTTGTAACTAGCTTGTCTACCGAATAAGTAACTGAATTGCAGGCTGACTGTCTAACACTAATTGACTCAAAGCTTATCTAACTATTGTAATTGTTGATTGCTTGGGTGGTTGGCTGACTAACCAACGAGCTGTTTCAGTGAAGAAATAACTAAGTGAAATACTAGGTAAATGGTCCATTGATTTTTGAGTCATGGATGAGAAGTAAGTATTATTTTTTTAATGCTAGTGGGGTGGGACTAAGTCCCTTGTACTGCGGCCACTTCTGGCCTATTGTACCAGCCCCAGATGATAGGTGAGGGTGATTGTGGGGCAATTGGTGGAATGAAGATTGGCAGTGGAAGCCGAAGTACTCGGAGAAAACCTGCCCCAGCGCCACTTTGCCCACCACAAATCCCACTTGACCAGACCCCGGGATCGAACCCGGGCCGCCGCGATGGGAAGCCAGCGACTAACCGCTTGAGCTGTGGCGCGGCCTGAAAAGTAAGAAGCTAAATAGATTTTTTTTTTTAGTTTCTTGGGGTGGGTTGAGAGTGAGTCCACTTGGTACGTCGGCCACTATCTGGACTATTGTACCAGCCCCGAATGAAAGATGATGAGTGTGGAGTAGTCGGTGGAATGAGAGTTGGCAGGGGAAATCGAAATATTTTGAGAAAACTTGCCCCAGTGCCACTTTGTCCACCACAAATTCCACGCGATCTGACCTGGGATCGAACCCTGGCCACCGCGGTGGGAAGCCGGCGACTAATCGTCCCGGCTACAGCACGACGTCTCTAAGTAACTAACTAACTAGTTAAGTGACTGAGTTTAAATAAGGAAATGGATGTATTTTTATTCTCACCTTTTGGTAGCGCTAATGGGCCGATGTGGCTTACATTAAGTTTTATCAGTTTCTTCCATGCATAAATATCATTTAAGAAATGTTGTCAAAATCTGTCCAGTCAGATCTCAGCTACTTCAGACGAACAAACTAAAAGGCGGCTATGCAGAAATTAAAAATGCTACTCTATTTTGTTTCGTGAAAATCTCGCAACTTTACAATTTAAAAGATATGCATTTATGTTATAGACATATAGTATTTTATCTTATCGAAGATCTTGCATAAAATCAATTTAATTATTTCAAAATGGACGCCAAGGAAGCCTCACAATTTCATTACGAGTGTAAACTTACTGCATCTGTTGGCCACCAAGTAACTTTGTTCACTGAAATACAGAGCTGATGCGAATGGAGCAGACAGGATTCCTGAAAATATTATTATAAAAGAATCAATTAAAGTCGACAACTAACAATATTTAGTCGTCGTTTTCTAGCCCATGATTTCAGTAGATACGGCTGTTTACCAGAACGATAACATTAAGTAGGTTACGTGCATTTGTTTATCATTCGTAGGTAAAAAAGGTAAAGCTCTCCCTGTAACCAGCCATTGAGGCCCATAGGGTTGTGAGACGTTGAAGGTCCCACATTATCTAGACAATGGCTCACAGATGGCGGTCAGGTTGTCAGCCTTACGCGTCGACCGCCCTTTACACCCCAGGAAGATTCCTGGTACTCATTTCTGTTAGAGGCTGTGTCGACATCAGGGCCATAGTGCGGCCGGAAGGATTAGGTCAGTTAAAAAATACACCTTATGGGGACTCAAACCCACGACCTTCCGGATTGTAGCATAGTGTCTCAACCAACTACGCTACCGCGTGCCCCCTATCATTCTTAGGTTATTTAAGCAAACCAACGACTTCTGCTTGCACTGAAACGAGGTTCTTTTCTTGCAGGTGACAACCGGGCCAACGAGAACATGGCGCTGGCTGTGCTACATACGATGTTGGTGAGGGTTCACAACCAGATCGCGTCAGAACTGAGCCAAATTAACTCCTTGTGGGACGACGAGAAGCTCTACCAGGTACCAGTTTCCATCTGATTTCAGTAAGCAGTCAATCATGGCAGATTCATAACTGGCAAACACTTTGCTAGATCGATAGACTTCCCATAGAGTGGCAAGAGTAAGGAATTCACGTTGTCTCAAACTATTGCACCGGGTCGGTCGGGTCGAGTAAATTGCTGCTGTCCTCGCCAGCACAGTCAATCTTGTTTTCGGGTCCCATCCGCACGCATAACCATATCCTTGTTCTTTTTTTCCCCCCCAAGAATTTTACGTCTTTTGAAATTGGGCCTCCTGTTCAACGAGAAGAGGTGTCTAACTGTTAGTGGTCACTCCCCTTCTACTGGGGGTTACTTGACTTTACAAACAAACACACACACTTACCTCTCGACTAACTCAGACAATGATTCTTGGACTGTCTCGAAAGACGTCAGCGACTGACTGACTGCTAAGTTACTGCTGGCCCTCGCCAGCACAATGATTCTCCGTTCAGAGTTCCACGGAACTCACGCCCGAATTTTACCATCTGGCGGTTTTTGGAGCCTTCAGATACTATGTCACTACTCCCATCGCACCGATTTCAGTGAACTACTTGAAATATTATTGTTGTGTTTCTGAAAATTATAGTCCGTTGCTTTGCTATAGCAGCAATATAATCATGTTTATGATAGGAGTCGTCCGTGGAGCTGCTTTAGGAAGGATATTATTATGTTTGTGAAGAATGCCGTCAATAACGTTGCCATAGCAACAGTATTGTGATTTGTAGGAGACGCGACACATCGTAGCGGCGATGGTGCAACACATCACGTACACCGAGTTCCTTCCCATGCTACTCGGCAAGGAAGCAATGGAGAAGTACGACTTACTTCCTAAATCTAAGGTACGGTAGCTGCAAGTGTTGGCAGAACCCACAGCAGCACAGAGTGGGTCGCAGTAGATAACCTCCCGTTCCTTGCACAGGGCTACTGGGGAGGGTATGACCCCAACGTGGATGTCACAATTCCTTCAGCATTTATGACGGCTGCCTTCAGGTTCGGCCATTCGCTGCTGCCAAACGTGCTGGAGAGATGGAGCCCTAACCATGTCAGGATAGGTCAGTGATATGCCTGTCCTCTACTTCAGGGTCCGTCTTTGCCTTCCTTGTACCGAATCCAAGGTTCAGTTTCCTGGTTTTACTCGCCCTTAAATGTTTTGCTTCATTTTAATGATTTGTACGGCTGCATTTGTGACATATCACGTGACCAGTTTTGTGTGAAAAGCATAAAAACGTGCCTCTTAAAATAAAATAGAAATAAGCTGCTGATGGATTTAATCTCGATACCATTTAATAGCACGAAAAGATTAATTAATTAAACACACACCATCAAGAAGTATGGGGGAGTGGAGGTATAGCTCCACCATTCTTGAAGTACCCATTGGATAGAAGCTGGGTGGACCCCAGATCCCGTCTGGACGCTATTGAGTAGAGACAAATCCCTCACCCCCTCAGGGAATCGAACACTAGCCATCCATAGCGTAGCCTGTCACTATGCCGACTGAGCTATCCCAGCTCCCCGTTATGTTGCAAGTTCTTTATATAAGTTATTTTATTCAGCTGTGTTGTTCTTTTCTTACATTTGGTTAACTTGCTAAAGTAAGAATAGACTGTGTGTGTGGTCTTGTGGTCAGAGTTCCTGGCTACAGATCCAGAGGTCCCGGGTTCGATTCCCGAAGCTACCAGATTTTCTGAGAACTAGTGGGTCTGGAACGGGGCCCACTTAGCCTCGTGAGGATAACTGAAGAGCTACTTGAATGGAAAAGTAGCGGCTTCGGTCTAGAAAGCAGAGACCAACGGCCGCGGGAATCCGTTGTGCTGACTAGGCGACACCCTCTATCCGCTAAAGTTGGCACTAACTTCGCCGACAAGCGGCGGTCGCTAGGTCGGTATAGTTTGCTTTCGGACGGACTGCCACAGAGTTTTTGTCCTTCTAGCACTCATGCGTCGTATCTGGGAGATCTCACGTTCAGATCTCCGGCCCTGGGACCAGACGTCCTGACTGCGAATCTTTATGTCTTTCTTCAGGCAAACAATGGGATTGCATGTCAAATTAGGACACAACTATGTACTTCCTCTAATAATTTTCTGATTTGCTATTCAATAATCCTATGAAAGAGTTCTGTTTTCTGGGATACAAGGTATGAAAATCACCTGATGTTTCCGAGGAACAATTAGCCTCCATCTTCAAGGTCGAAGAATAAGCCGAGGTCGCTACTTCTGCTTCATGCTGGTTTCTTGCTTGCATGAAAATGGTGGTGACATGATTCTTCAAAACTTTCAGTGATTTTCATCGGACTACTTTAACACCGCTCTTTTCCAACCCGCCTTTGCTTGTATCGGCGCAGTCGGAATGGTGCTATCCCTGCTACACCTGTTTCTACCTTAGGACAGTGTATGATAGCTACTGCAAGTTGTCCTCACAGATCAAACTAAGGAAGATCGGTATAGGTACGGGAAACTAGCTGGGTCGGTTCGCATGAGTCTCAGGGTAGCGATGCCGAAGAAAGCGTTTTTCTGAGAGTTGATCCAATTGACGTTTATTCACCTTCTAATTCACCACACTGTTAAATTAATGTATTCTTAGCTTTAAGTTACAGCGTTACACTATCGGCTAGCTATGTCCCGGAGCGTGCAAGGGTCACGTCCGTTCAGTTCGGAATATTGTGAAAGTCTCTCCTTTGTGGAATGGCTTGCACCCCCACGCCGGGAATTCGAAAGATGGTGTTGACATATATATTTTCATCCCATCTTCCGTAGGAAGCTTGAACGAGGCAACCCAATCATACTGGCCCTCATTCACAGGCAATTGTAAGAAGCTCTGACCTGTCCTTTTAGCCGCGTCCGGTTCCCTGTACCCGAGCTAAATTTATGACTGATCGTAAATGTCATAACTCCGGACTTCTTGTTTCTGCCAGAATCTAGAAATTTTCAACATAAACACCGTATTGCACGTCCCAGACAATGAAATACGATATTATAGATCACGATACATTTCCAGTAATACCGAAACATAAGACTTTTGAAATTCAAATTACCGAGAATTAATTAGAAATAAATTTCATGGTCATCTATAATCATCCAAATAAATAAGGGCTCAGAATGATCAGCGTCAACTTGCAATTCTGTATACCAGAAGACAGAACACTTCAAAACCACCGCTGCGGAAACCTCAAATCATACGATCATCTGATCATTCGCCCTGCTTAGCCTGAGTTACCGAGAACGTCGGTAAATAAGCTATAAATAGATAAACCCTTGTTATAACGGACAGAATTTGGTTGTGTACAATTGTGAATTTTTAGAGATGATGCAGCAGTAAGAAGGTTTTGTCGTTAGAACACTATTTAAAGAAACAATATAACAGCCGCACTAGGCCCTGGGGTTTACTCAGCCTCTAACAGAATGAGTACCAGGAATTAATTAAATAATTTTCCTGGGGAGTAAAGCGCGGCCGGCGCGTAAGGCTGACAACCTTACCGCCATCTTTGAGCCGATTGTCTAGACAATGTGGGACCCTCAACGTCTCACAACCCTATGGGCCTTCACGGCCTGGTACAGGGATAACTTTACTTTTTACTTTTTAAAGATCTCTAATTAATCACATTGTGTGTTTCACTGTTTAGTGCGCGTGTTGGCCGGTGTACTTCGTTGAATGCACATTCGCTCGGTTATAGCAGACACATACGATAATGAACGTCCCTTTTAATCCTTTATAACAAGGTTTTGCTGTGTTGTCTTACTCTGCAGGAGTCCAGAGGCTGAGCGAAGTGCTGAAGCGACCCTTCGACCTGTACAAGCCAGGATGGTATGACCAGTACGTCATCGGACTCATTAACCAGGTGGCTCAGGCTATGGACGACGGGGTCACCCAAGAGGTATTGTAGAACAGCTGATGGTGTGTTGTCAGATCAACCAATAGTTTTAGAATCTTAATCTGTTATACGTGTTCTGATACTAGTGACGTAAACTTATCTGCACTATGCCATAAAGTGTGTAACCGTCACGGTGCACATTAGACCCTGTACTAGAGCAAAGGTTAAAAAGTTAAAATTGTTCCTGTGCTTAATTAATTAGGCACTGCGCCATGGAGACATATGGGGGACTGGAGGTATAGCTGCACTGTTATTGACCTTGTCACTAGATACAGGTGAGTGATCAGCTTCACGCCCCGGCCACTTTAGCCCCAAGGAAGCATCCCGGTACTCATTGTATAAAAGGCTGGATAGGCCCCAGAGCTGATTTGGACGCTGTGGAGTAGAGACAAGCCTCTTGTCCCTGTCTGGAGTCGAACCTCGGTTATTCATCCCGTTGTTATATCGACTGAGTTAGCCTGGCTCCCTGAGACTCCGCACTAGTTGGAAGAGAAAAGGCTTCATCACTCGACCGTTTACACCCGGTACGCATTGGGTTGGAGGCTCGGCAGACTCTAGGTGCGTTGTACACGAGGAGAAAAGAAAATTACTGAGGGAATTATATGTATATATGTATGTGTGTAAGGGGTGGGCCATAAAATCCGGCCCTCGCACTGCAACCTTCAATGATCTATTGTGCTTCCCCTTTGGATTAACCCTTTATTAACCCTACACTTTGAATGAAATGTAGGACTTTATTTATGGGGGTGTCATAAAGGTCACTTGGTTCCAGGAAGAATTGACCCAGGTGACGAAATCTTAGGTAAGCTATAGCCTCACAATCACACAGGATGTGTGTGACTGATTCATCTTCTTGTAGGCACCTTTCACAGGTTGGGTCGCCTGTCAGTCCCAGTTTGAAAAGGTGTCCTTTTAGATGGCAGTGTCCAGTAAGTAATCCTACCACCCATCTTAGTGGATCTCTGTTTAATTTCAACAGGTCCTTCGTTCTTCTGCCAGAGGGTCCTGAAAAAAATCCTTTGAAGGGATTATAAATTAAGAACGGTTAGATTTGACGTGTGGGGGAGAAAGAAATACTTTAACAGCTTTGGCTGGCAACACTGACATCCACTCACAATCTCTTCTTCAGAGGACTACCGCCACATATTCCACCTGCTATATTTCGTCATCCTGACGTGTATCACACATCCTGTGTGTCTCATCGTTCTTAATCAATCACAACAGTAATATTCGGCCAAGAATAAAGTTTATTATAGACCACCTGTCTTCAACCATTTAGTTTAAGTAAATATTTAACGAGTTAAGCAGAGAAATAGAATAGATTTTCTCACATTTAATAAGTTTGAGTTCTGAAATATGCTTAGATGTAAGAGGTTATTCACTGTCCCTAGGTGACTTGATGGCCGGTCACAGTGGCCGGGCGGTCTAAGGCATGAACTGTCTTTGCTTGCTCGAACGCCGGGATCGTGGGTTCGGATCCAATTTATGTGCGTTCATTCTATGTTTGTGTTGTCCTGTGTATAGGTAGTGGCATTGCGACGGGCTGATCCCNCAGGGAATCCTGTCGACTGTGTATAGGTTCAAGAACCCGAAAAGCGGCCAAAGCACAAAAAATGGCTGTGGAGCCATAATAATAATAATAATAATAATAATACCTCCACTCTCCCATACATCTTCGTGGCGAAGCATCCAGTACTGTACAGCGTGACATTTGACTTTAGTCAACGTCAAGAAATACTCTTCTCCTGTCGCTGCGTCACTCAACTTCATTCATTGGACTCCAAAAATGAATTGTTGTTGCGATTTTTATATATTTACTTTAGGAAAATGGCAAGAACAAGTTAGGCAGCAGAAGGGTTCGGCATGATTTAAGCCTGCCATTCAACACGTTCGATGAAGTTGTAAGACCTCGCGAACTCTGTGTTGCAGGTGACGAACCATTTGTTCCAGCAGCCCTCACACGGGTACGGTATGGACCTGGCGTCTTTGAACCTACAGAGGGCCCGCGAACATGGGGTGCCGGGGTACAACAGCTACCGCCATCTGTGCGGGCTGCAGCCACTGCCTCGCTGGTCCCTCATGCTACAGGCACTGCCCAATGAAACAGTGCGCCGTTACCAGGACATCTACGAGTAGGCACTTGACGTCATGAGTAAATGTTGGGACTTAACATCTGAGCTAGTGGTAATGTGAGGGATGAAGGCAAGTTTGTTGTGCTATTCTGTTATTTTGCGGCTCGACTGATGATGTTATGTGTCGTTGAATGGTATACTGCAATAAGGTTATGATATGAATAGGAAGGGGATATATGGTGATTCGCCTAACTTACTTTACGGTACTCTACCAGCAATTGACTGAAGCGACTGAGGAAACCCCAGGCCAGGAGCGAAAGCACAAGCAGTCGATGCGGGTGCTTTGGGGCAGCAGAATATCTGCCGCCGGCCCTAGGAAAACCACAGTAATCCTTAGTTAGGATAATCAGTTTTGGGTCCAAGATTGAAATCCGGATGATCTCGGATTCGATTAGCGGTGCCATGGCTGGTTACCTTAAGACTTTTCATGATTTTCCTTAAGTATTCCAGATGAATTTTACCAATGAATCTTCAAATAGGCCGTGATCGCTTCTTTTCACATCTTCCTCAACTTATCCTTGAAAACCGTCTCTCAGTTCGACATACACAGTTAAGGAATATAAGAAATGCTCATAGTTTACCCAACATAGGTGGCACGCGGTATAAGCTGCAAAGTCACGGGTTCGAATCCCGATGAGGTCATTGGATTTTTTTTTTCAGTTTAGCTACTCCTTCCAGCCGCACTATGGCCCATGGGTCTACTCAGCTGCTAATATAAATGAGTATCATGAATCTTCCTGCGGGTAAAGGGTGGTCGGCGCGTAAGGTTGACAACCTCACCACCATCTGTGAGCCGATTGTTTAGACATCTCATAACCTTATGAACCTCCACGGCCTGTTACAGGGATTTTATTATTATTAGAGGGGGTGGGTTTCCCCAGTTATTGGTCCATTGTGCGTCCCCCTTTAATTTCTACTGTCGCCATATCCTACCGGTACTGGTGAGTGCTATCAGCCAACGAGGTCGGCCGTCGGTATCTGATATTTCCCCCCTCTACCAGAGGCATTGG